TGGCAGGAATCATTTAGGCTTCACCTAGCCGTGAGACATTAACCACTTGGTACGCTGCGAAACCTTGCCCACAGCCGGCACTCGTAGAATCCGTTCTGCTCTTGTGTGATGAGGAAAGCTTGAAAGCACTGAAAGCTTGTTTTACTTTACAGGCAGCTTTGCTTGTAATGTAAATCAGAACAGGTAACATATACATATAGGTTTTTATTACGTTATTTTTAAATGTTCACAATTTTATTTTGATAAATGAAAAATTAGAAAAGTCAATTCAATGAAAATTGATGCTTGGCTGTGCGCCTTCACATCACGGCTGTCGGCTACAGTCGACGCCCAGCTGTGCGCGTTCATCTGTGGCTATCAACTATAGTTGACGCTCGTACCGAAGTGGTTAAATAGAGACCTCAGAAAAACAACTTTTTGGGAATGAGACTCAGCACTAGAATACAGTCATGTACCACATAATAATGTTTCATCATCAACATATATTAATACAATGGTGATCTCATAAGATTATAATATCATATTTTGTACCTTTTCTACGTTCAGATATATTTAGACATATAAATACTTACCATTGTATTACAGTCACCTACAGTATTAAGTACAGTAATGTGCTGTATGGATTTATATGCTAGGAGCAGTAGGCTATCCCATATATGCTAGGTAATGTAGTAGGCTATACCATCTAGGTTTGTGTATATTCTGTGATGTTCACAAAATGGTAAAATTGCCCAGTGATGCATTTTTCAGAATACATATCAATAAGTTATACATGACTGTAATGGCTACTATAGAAAAACCTTTAGAAATCTTAAAAACAAACCTTAAATAAATCAAGTTAATTCACAAATAAGAATTGCCTGTTATAAAACATCCAACATTCCTTGAAGGAACACAGAAAAAAATCTACAATTCAACAAGAGGAAACTCAAAATATCTGGTGCTAATTTAAATACACACACAAACAGGAAAAACGTTGACTCATAATAAAGAGAAATATCAGCAGTGAATAGAAACATACCACAAATAACATAGATAAGGGAAATAGCATATTAAAACTGCTAAAAATAAATATGTTCCAAATTCTCAAGGATATAAGGGAAAGCATGTGCATGATGTTAAGAGAAATTAAAGATTGCAAAATACTCAAAATTTCTAGAGATAAAAAAATAAAATACTAAGATAAAAAAATCTCCAGATTAACAACAGATTAGACATCATAGAATATTTATAAAAGCCTAAAATTTAAGCATTAGCAATAGAAACTATCCAAAACCAAGAACAAAAAGGTAAACATACTTAAAAGAAAACTTGAACGGCATCTCAGTAATGTGTTGGATAATGTCGTGGCCCGTTTACAGGATGGAGGATGAATACAGAACACAAAACACAAACGCAGAACACAAAGAAAAACGCGGACATACATACAGACGGTTGGCTTGAGTAATAATACACCGGTTCGTTTTATTTTTATACTTTAAAATTTTAAAATTAGTTCCTTGTACATAACCTCCCAGGCATTGCAGCAATGGCCATAAATTCTGGAATGCGTAGCCTTAGGGAAGCAGATATCCCCTGGCTCAGAATTTCCAGGTGGTCGCTCTAGGCGCTAGGCATAGATCACAGATCTAGATCACAGACCGAGATTAGCAAGGATGGGCAAGGTGAGCCGCAGGGGGTATTTCTCATCCCCAGCTTCTCTTAGGGTGACCTCCTAAGATCTTCGGCTGAACCCCAGCGGCTGTGGCTGGCTTAGGTCACCCCTCCCTTGAGAGGTCTTACCCGTCATTGACTAACCAGCCATCTTATGGGGTGTTTGTCGTGTGGCCTCCAGACCCCCAGTGCTGTGGGGCAGGGAAGCTCTTGCTTACTTGCAACTCAGGTCCTTTGTTATGCCTCTAGGCAACAGCTTTGTTTATCACTGGGAGCCTGTCCGGAACACATTACTTTCAAACGCTCTGGGCAGAACACATACATTACTCACTAACTTTAATTCTTAAGCTAGAAAAATATATGTCATTCCCCTCCAGGATAATATAAAATAGACTGATATACTTGTAATTGTAGTCACAGAAAGTGAAAAGAAGACAAAACAAACTTTTAAGGAAATAATGATTGAATTTTTCCCAAATTTGATAAAGAACTCAGTAAACCCCAAGTATAATGCACATAAAGAAAATCGCACCAAAGCATATGGTAATCAAGGTATCAAAAACCACATAGGACATCTTAAGGACAGTCAAAGGAAAGAGACATATGCACAGAAGAAAAAATGTGAGAAAGACAGCAGACTCTTCAACAGAGATGCTGAAAGCCAGAAGACAGTGAAATGAGATCTTTAAGTACTGGGAGGGATAAAAAGCTGTCAATCTAGAATTCTATGCACAGGAAAAATAGCTTTCAAAAATAAATATAAAATAAGGAATTTGCAAAGAAAATCTGAGGGAATTTACTTGTCACAAACCTACACTATGAGAAATTTAAAGGAAGTTCTTTGGAGTAAGAAAAATTCTACCAGATGCAAAGTTAGATCTACGTGGCAGAATGAGGAGTGCCAGGCATGGTAGATAGGGTCAACGTATGGCTAGGCTTTTGGTGGAAACTGTAGTAAAATTGTGAATAATTAACTAGTTCTTTAACATCTCTTTCTTTTCATCAAAGGGACCTTTAAATGTGGTAAAATATGACCAGCTCTTTTTAATGTAATCTCATGTAAAATTTCTGTGTGAACCTTTTCTCCTACTCTAAACACTGACATAAAAACAACAGACATAGACATATCAGACTCTTGGAACAAGTTAGAACTTTCTTGGGAGGGACACAACTTTCTTGGGCAGTTAGTAGCATTAAGAAATCTGATACAGTTGCCTACGGCCATACCACCCTGAATGCGCTGGAGCTTGTCTGATGTCGGAAGCTAAGCAGGGTCAGGCATGGTTAGTATTTGGATGGGAGAAATCTGATACAATATAGGGTGGCATGATAAAGACATATTTCCTGTATCATTATGTGCACAAGTTTGTGTGAATGTTGTTCACACAACTGTTGTTGTGTGATATACTATTGTTCAGTATATACTGAACAGAATATACTGTTGTTCAGTACTGTTGCTGTGGGATATACTGTTGTTCACACAGTATACCCCAATTATCAGGATATACTCCAGATATTTTTCTACTATTGATTTCTAATTAATTTTGCTTTTGATAGAGAGCACATTTTGTATGATTTCCATCTTTAAAAATATTTTAAGACTTGCTTAATGGCCCAGCATATGATCCTCGTGAATATTTCATGTGCACATGAATAAAACCCAAAGCTGGGTTTTGGAAAAGAGCAATAAAGTCAATCAAGAGTAAAGACAATGGACAAAGTACCTTGGACCTGTAGCCATCACCACAGGATAGTAAAAAGATAACAGGGATATTTTGAATGGCCTTATCACCAATAAATTTGGCAACATCAAGAAAAGAACTTTTTTTTCTTTTTTGGAGACAAGGTCTCTCTCTGTCACCTGGGCCGGAGTGTAGTGGCATCATCACAGCTCACTGCAACCTGGAACTCCCGAGCTCAAGCCATCCTCCCACCTCAGCTTCCTGAGTAGCTGGGACTACAGGCACGTGCCACCACATCCAGCTTGGGGAGGGGAGAGTGAGTGATTGTGTCAGGTGAGATGACAGCTGAGAAATATGGCATTGAGCCTGTGAGCTCTGATGACCTCAAGAAGAACAGCTGTGGCTGAGTGGTGGGATAAAAGCTCACACGGCAGGAGTGCCGTGTTTTGCATGTCTGTGATTTGTGGTGACTTCATGTTTAAAATGGCCCTTAGACATAGTGCTGAAGTACTACATAGTGTTCCTAAGCACACAAAGGCTGGGACGTGCCTTACTGAGAAAATAGGTCTTTTATTAATAGATAAGCTTTGTTTAGGCATAGGCTGTAGTGCTGCTGGCTATGAGATCAGTGTTAATGAATCAACACTATTAAATATTCAATAAGGTGTCTTTAAACAGAAACACAAAAAACAAGGTTATCCACGGGTCAGTTGACAAAAATGTTGTGATCACAGGTTCGAAGGACCCTAACCTCGTGTTTCCTCTAATTACTGTCTGTTCAGTGTTAGTGGTGACTTGACAGAATATAACTGCTATGAATAGCAAGAGTGGATTGCTACGCTTTGGTAAAGATTGAATGAGTAAATTAAGGTGTGTTGCAAGGTGTGCACCATGGGATATTATGGAACCTTTAAAGATCTCTGATTCAAGGGAACCCAACTCCTTAGAGTCAAAATTTCCTTAAGGTATTGTTGCATGAGAAAGCTAAGGTGCAGAGATGTATAATGTGATATAGGATCGTTTCTAGCTGTTGTCGCGTTGCTGCATTTTCATGTGGCTTTCTGAGCACGGACAGTGATGTACAGCAGGTGGACAATCAAGGGCCCCTTAGGGTGGCTGTGGGGTTGCTGCGGCAACGTGCCTGCCCTGCAGAGGGTGGGGTGAGTGAAAAGGAAACACTGTTGATGATTTCACTCATAGAGAAAGACATGTACTTTGAAGAAGTTTGAAGGAAAAAATGATAGTCCTCTGTGCACTGACTTGCAGGGATGCCCATATGTTTTGCAAGTCGCAAAACAACGTGTACAATGTGGTTCTATTTTGGTACCAACTTTGCATATGCTTCTGAGTATGAGTGAGGAAAAGGAAGTTTGAATATATCAAAAGGTTGGGAATTTTGTGGGAAAAGGTTATTTCTTTTTATGCTTATTTCTACTGGTTTATTTCATTAGGTGCAATTAATATGTTTGCTGAAAATTAGAAAAAATCCAAATAAAATGTGGAAAAGGATCAATTGAATATTGTTCAGCTAACAAAATATAACCATTTTCTTAACTATATCCCAAATATCCAAGTATTAAATGACACCAGCAGGCACAGTTTTATTACATAATTCTGAGTAGTCATATGTAATACTTTAAAATTCCTTTTTTTTTTTTTTTTTAGGAATCATTAAGAGCCATCAGATACGAAATCTCTCCAGATAGAGAGTATGCGCTCTTTTCATATAACGTGGAACCGGTGAGTACTGCCCTTTTTCTGTCTACAAAAGAACCATGTCTTATTCTGATGCCTCATTAAGTATTTTCCTTAGATCTTCATTCTTAGTGATCTTTAAATCCTGCAGTATTTGGTGGGTCCTGGAATAGTCTCTTTTGTATGTCATACTGCCACCTAGGAGACAGGAAAGGTATAAAAGTCTGCTTGGCAGAAAACAAAATCACTTATTTTAGGGCTCTTAGACTTGTCTCAGGGAGATAGAACTTGTCTTTTCTTACAGATTTATCTTAACTTTTTGTGCAGTCATTTTACTTGCTGTTTTGGCAGTGAAACCATAAATTTTATCTTAAGAAAAAAAAATAACCGCCAGGTTCTTTCTAAACTAAAATAATACATTAATGATGTCCTGACCAACACAGTGTTCCAGTGGAGTCTAACTATCACTTTCATTATGTAATCTCTATTTTTAGCACTTCGTGTATATGAGTCGCCTGTGAAATTTCACCAGAATTTTCTGTAAAATCTCACCGTGGGCTTTAGTAGCAGTCCGAAACTTCCTAAGCCAGGGTTTTTTGTTTCTTCTTCTTCCTTTTTCTTTTTTTTCACGTAACATGCTGATATTTTTAAATTCATTTTGTATCTTTAATTTTAAATAAGCTAGGAGTTGAAATTTAATTGTATAAGTCAAGCAGATGTTCAGTTTATAAGAGATAAACATCTTTGGCAATGTGAATTTTAGAAATTTTATTCTATACGTACAGAGTTCTTCTGCCTTTGTAACTTTTCTGAGACCGTTCTGATAAGAGTTTCCTGACGCTTCTGGGGGTATAATGGCACCCACATTGTGAAGCAGGTCAGAGTGGCTCCTTGGTGAGTCTGAGGGACTCTCCTGTGTCACAAGTTGGGGAAGCTTTTCGATTTATATCCCACTGAGAAGACAGGATTGGTTTGGATGGAGATGCAAGTCCAATTCTATAATTTTTAAACTTTCTTTTAGAAGTTGATTTGACAACTGCATTATATATTGGGGATTTCAACTTTATTCCTGCAACTGTAGATTTTTTAAAATTCTATTTCAGCTTTCTATTTTTCAGTTTTTTTTAAATGTCCATTCTATGAAACCTTTCATTTTCTCCATCCATATTCTTTGGAGCAATTGGGCATCTTTATCTCTTTGATGGGGAGCAGGTGGTGAACTTGACATTCTAAAAGGTTCGGGGCTGTCTGTGTCTCCTACACCCAGCCCTAAACTTGCCTCTAAGCTTTAAGCGTCTGGACATGATGTTCATGGATCATAGACTCTTTCAGCTCCCTTCATCACCCTCGGACACCACCAAAAATATAATCTCCACAGCTGAATAAGAGAAAAGACCCAGCAGATGTTTGAAAGACTTTTGCGGATGTGTTCTGGTTGCCCCAGGAGGCACAGCTAATGCCTGAGTGAGGGGATCATAGAAAGACAGATTTCAGGTTATCTCACTAGAGAATCTTTTAATCATTGGAGCACCCCAGCGGTGGGACACAGTGCCTCATGATGTAGTGAGCATTCTGCTCCGGGAAGCCTTCAAAACATAGGGATGTGTTTGTTCTTCAGGATGTTGTAGAAAGGCTCTCATGTCTGCCCGTTTGGAAGAGGGATGCTCTCATTGTTCTTCAGGATGTTATGGAAGGGGTCTCACGTCTGCCCGTTTGGAAGAGGGATGCTCCCTTCCTTGGGGCTGTGGGGCTGTGGATGGTAGAATTTACCAACTTCCCTCCTTTTTCCCAGTGCTCTGCCTGAAACAGTGCCCTGGGGTCAGACTGAACAAATAACCGTTTGGGTAGAGATCGTTTTGCTCAATGTGGGTCTTCACCACGTAGAACGCTGGCTAACATAGGAACCTAGAGGTGCCCTTTCTCACTCTGCAGCACTTGTCAGCATTTGGAGTGAGACCGTCCACTTTGTTTCCTCAAATGAAGAAAAACATAGACAGTTTGGAGTGGATTTAGAGAACTGTAAGCATGGTTAAAGTGTTGAAAATGTAAAAAGAGAATCTTTAGCAATGGATACTTTCAATATGAATAAAATAAGTAATCCTTAATAGTTTTCAAGTACTGAGCAGGTACTGAACACATGACTTTCCAAGCGAATATTCACTGTTCTTCTGGAGGAAAAATTATAAGGCAAAGAGCTTGGGATTCGGCGTGAGAATTTGGAGTTATGTATTAGGCAGAGCTTCCTAGCTAGATAAAGGAAGATGGAAATGATTTTAGAAAAGGGGAGTAGATTTCAAGGGAAGAGTCTAGGTCTGTAATTCTGGAATAAGTAGACTAGATCAGGACTTCTAAGCTGTGTTTAGTATCAATATTATCATTAATAGTATATTAACAATACAGTAATCAATAATAATAATAATAGTGTGTTGTTCTTGGGTGTTCTTTGAAAAAATAAAAAGTTCTATATTGAAATGAATTTGCAAACGCTAGTGTAACAAAGTTAGGTACGTTTCTTTACTGCAGTATACTTTGAAGTTTTCAGGTATGTAACCCATGAGGGTTACACAGTATTTCCTGAGTGTTTCTTACAATCTGTGATTCCACTTGAGTCCTGAGGAAGCTAGAACTTTTTATTTGGATCCCTGCCTACATATTCTTATGTGTGTATGTCAAAGGCAGCTGGTATATCTTCCCTATATGAACCAACTCAACTTTCATTAAAAAGACTGTCATAAAAATGTCTTAGACTAGATCAACTGTCCAATTACTGGAAGTCTTTCATTTATTTGAGTAACTGTTTTATTTGCAATAAAGTTTCATTATATTGGGTTACTGTTACACTAAAAATATCCTGCATCCTTCCAACCCCTGCTCTGTTTGCTGTGTGCCCAAAGGCAGTGGGCTTGGAAGTCCACTCTCTCCTAAAATATTGCTGAATCCATAACTTGGCTAACATCTTTGAACATGAACAAATTAGCTAATTTTAACTATGTCAACCCTACGTTCGTTTTATTGATAACCTCACATGTACCCTTAAAAATATATATGCACAAATCAGTTATCAAGTAGATTGGAGAAAGAGTAAACCCCAGCGCAGTTTTCCGTGTGTGTATTTCAGTCCTCAGATAACTATAGGTCCATAAATAGTATGTCTGGAATATGGAAAATTATTAACAATATCCTGTTTTTATTTATGTCGTACCATCCTTATAGTTTGTAAAATGTGTTTCTTTGCACCTACTTATTTCATCTCAAAAGATCATTCCTGCCCCAAAGAGCCAATGTGTGCTAAATAAGTTTTATTTTGTTTATTTTATATATAGAACATAATAGCATTTCTCAGGGTATAGTTTCTGAAGGGTTCTCTTAAAAATAAGCTAGATGTTAGGGAAAAAATTTTTAATCTTTAATTTGAAAACTATGTTAACTATATTTTTTTTTATTTTTTTTATTTTTTTTTTCTACAACAGAACTTTTCCAGACAATGTTAACTATATTAATAGGAAAAAATTACTTAAAGCAAACGTATCTAATTAGAGAGCTACTTTATACAGTGGTATATTTGACAAATATGAAAAGTTTTCAAAACTTTTATGGGAAAGAAAAAAATGTGTTTTCTTTTTTAAAATATATATTTTTTTTTCTTTTCTTTTTTTTTGCTACCTGGTTTGTGTCCTAAAAGAAAAAAAAATTAAATGGAATATCTTAGATCATTTAAAAATATTTTTATGTGACTTTTGAGGAGGAAAAAGAATTTATACCTGGAAAATATTCTTCTTTAAAGAATTTTTTCTGAAGGAGATACTGAGTATTTGTGAAGAATTTTATTGTAACCTTTACAGGAATTAATTGGGATGATTGTTCTTATAGCCAGTGGAACATCATTCTGGTCCAAATAAAATTTTGCCCAAACTCTGGTCAAATTTTAGGATGTGGTCCTAAAATCCCAATCAATCAGACAGTTACTCAGTTCACAAAATGGGTCAGTACACATCAAGTGGTCTGTTTTCATCATCTGTTGCCGCATAACAAAGTAGCCCAGAAGGTAGTGGCTAAAAGCAGACAGCATGTGTCATCTCACAGTTTCTGTGGGTCAGAAACTTGGGCTCAGGTTAGCTGGACCTTTTGACCCAGCATCTTTCGGAGGCTGGGTTGAAGTTCCATCTCGAAGCTCGACTGGAGAAGGACCCGTGGCCAGGCTGACTTGTGTGGTTGTTGCTGGGCTGGGGCTCCTCACTGGCTCTTTGCCAGAGACTGCTGTCAGTTCCCCGCCACGTGAGCCTCTCCGGACGAGAGCTCAAAACAGCAGTTTGCCTCCTCAGACGAGCGAGCAGGAAGAGCCAGCCAAAGCATGCCAGCAAGGCGGACATCATAGTTCCTCCGACCTAATGTCAGAAGTGACGTCCCCTCACGTTGACTGTATTCTGTGTATTAGAAACAGCAAACAGGTCACTCAGTCCAGCCCACTTGCAAAGGGGATTCCTTATTCACAGCACCAGGAGCAGGGATCGCTGGAAGCTGTTTCCGAAGCTTCCTACCACACCTTAGAGTCCTGTGTGAGCAATTGTGGTTCCCCGTATTTATGTGGTACTTAATGACTCTGCTGTCTGCTAAAGGGTATATTTGCTTAGAGAATATGATAAACCCCTTTCTTATTTATATGGCCTCTGTTGTACCCTGTCTTCTGTTGCTGTAACAGAAATACCATGGACTAATTAATAAGGCATGGAGATTCACTTCTTACAGCTCTGCAGCCGGGAAGTCCAAGAGCCTGGCACTAGCACCTGGGGAGGGTCATCCCGTGGTGGAAGCAGAAGCGAGTGAGTGTGCAAGACAGGGAGAGCACAAGGGGCCAGGCTCACTTTCACAGCAGCCCGCTCTGTTGATAACTGACCCACTCCTTGGATAACTACGTTAATCCATGCGTCAGGGCTTCACCCCCATGCCACCGTCACCTCTTACTAGGCCCCACCTCCCAAGAGTGTCGCATTGGGGGTTAAGTTTCCAACACATGAATTTGGAGGACACATTCAAACCATAGCAAC